TTCTATAGTCCCATTACCCCAAATTCTACATTTGAGGTGAAAAGTCAAGGAGGACTCTCAGACTTGGCCCATCGGGGCAGCAGGCAGACGGGTAGCACGGAAGGACAGTGGGCTGGGGACATCTCTACAGCGTTTTCTGGGTTGGACTTTGTTCTGGGCCTCTAGCTAATGCATGTACCTGGTTCTCTGCCCTAACAGGGCTCCTATTCTGGACAAACTGATTCGGAGATATCTGGAAGGCTGGCTTCCCTCTGCTCATATTTCTCCTAAACCTGGCTCACTGCCTCTAGAAAAGAGGCACAATGATGTATGTCTCCTTCATACAGACACAGCATTTTTCACAGAAACACTTTACCCTTTTGTAATGGAGAAAAAATGTTGCCCTCAGTGAAAATTTTCCACCCCATTTTGAACATAGACCGTCAGAGCTATGCACTAACTGGAAAGTCAAAGTGTGTCTGATCCCTTTTCTGGAAAATATTTCAAGCCTTTAAACACTGTGAAGTGATTTATATTTGACACACAAAATCCCAACAAAAGAGCAATTCTTCTTGAGACACAGAAAGCGTTCAAAAGTTCCAATCAAGAGAACATGTTAACCCTCTCGCTAACAATGGCACCTCTGTTAGCAAGAGCCAAGGTAAGACTTCATTATTTGACTCCAAGAAATTATATACCTTGAGTATATAAATAGAACAATATTTCAAGGCTGCTTATATATCAAAAACATGATAGGCTGAAAAGCTGGCTGATCGTTTAGGAAGCCAGATCGTTATTAGATCAATACTATTAAAGCAAACCTAAAAAGAAACTGTTGTTGCGGATGAACCAAATATATGCAAGCTTTCTGTTCAAATAAACATTGTCTTCAAACAAAGGAGCTGCAAAGCACGGCCACCTGTCATCTGACCACAATCAGCCCAATCGCCCGCAGACCATCAGGAAAGAAATGGACTTTGAATCAGGGGCCCAGGTTTGAGTTCTGACTACTTCACTCACTAGCTGTGTGACCTGAGAAGAGTTACTTAACCCCCTCCACGCTTCGAGCTCTGCATCTGTCCAATGGGGAAGAAAGTCGCCCACCCTGCAGACTTGTGGGAACTAAAGGTAGGTAACGTGCCTGGCTCATGTTAGGCTCAGTAAGGGCCAGCTAGCATTCCTGGTACTGAGCTTTTAAAAAGTTCATACAAAAGCTGAAATGTCTACTTTGCTAGTTTCCTAAGGTTTATGGAGAGACCACAACCTCTCCCTAAAAAACAGTGCAGCCCTGAGGAATTCACTGAACAGCATACGGAAGTGCCATGCATATGTAAGCATATAAATACAAGGGTAATCTTGGTGACTCTTTTTCTTTTTATGCCTAACCAAGAAATTTTCACTTTCTTCTTCTCTCTTACCCCAGCCTTTTCGTTACTGGTCTATATTTACAACCGACTTGTGGGAACTAAAGGTAGGTAACGTGCCTGGCTCCTGTTAGGCTCAATAAGAGCCAGCTAGCATTCCTAGTACTGAGCTTTTAAAAAGTTCATATAAAAGCTGAAATGTCTACTTTGCTAGTTTCCTAAGGCTTATGGAGAGACCACAACCTCTCCCTAAAAAACAGTGCAGCCCTGAGGAATCCACTGAACAGCATACTGGAGTGTCATGCATATTTAAACATATAAATACAAGGTAATCTTGGTGACTTTTTTTCTTTTTATGCCTAACCAAGAAATTTTCACTTACTTCTTCTCTCTTAACCCAGCCTTTTCGTTACTGGTCTATATTTACAACGTATCTGATGATATTATGCACGAACAGAATGAAATTGATATTGCTGCGACAGGTCTCCTTTTGGATTTGCATGAAGAGATTTCTTTACGTCAGATTTAATTTTTCAGTTTTCAGGCCAATGCTCACTTAGTCATCGAATCTCACTGTAGTATATCATAAAATAACACAAGCTACCTCGGGAATAATAATGGCTTCCACCATCTGTGCCAAACAGTATGCCAGGCAGGTACAGTTGTGCTTTTCTGTCTCATACTGTAGAAGAGGAAAATGCAGCTCAAAAAGGTTAAATAGCTTGCTCTAGGGACACATAGTTAGAAAGTGTAATGGAGTTTTTGACCCCAGATCTGTATGATTCCAGAACATTCACACTTTCCACAGACACAACTGCCTCCCATAATACCAAAAAGAAAACATAATCTAGTTTGAAAGCTAAGGCTTTTTAATGACAAACTGAGTCAGCAAGACTTGCAGAGGTAATCGGTAATGCAAGACAAAACCACCTTCCCCTATCATCAACAAACAACAAGTGCTGGCGAGGATGTGGAGAAAAAGGAACCCTCGTGCACTGCTGGTGGGAATGCAGACTGGTGCAACACTGTGGAAAGACAGTATGGCGTCTCCTCAAAAACTAAAAATGGAACTCCCATTTGACCCAGTGATCCCACTTCTAGGGATATATGAAAAGAAATCAGAAACACCACTCAGAAAGGATATATGCACCCCCATGTTCATAGCAGCACAATTTACAATAGTTAAGATTTGGAAACAGCCTAAGTGCCCATCAGCAGATGAGGGCATTAAAAAACTGTGGTACATCTACACAATGGAATATTATGCTGCTGTAAAAAAGAAAGAACTCTTACCATTCACAACAGCATGAATGGACATGAAGAGCTTTATATCACCAAAGTTCTTGAATGCATACATGTAAGCATAACCGATGGACACAGACACTAGGGGGGTGAGGACATATGCTGGGGGGTAGGAGTGGCCGGGGAGAGGTCAATGGGGGAAAAAGGAGACATATGTAATACTTTGAACAATAAAGAATTTAAAAAAGAATACACACACGCACACACAAAAAGAAACACCTTCCCTTCTGTTATCTCTATAGACAAAAGTCTTTCTTTTTCCTTAAACAAACATAGTACCCACCCACCCCCACCCCCCCAAGTTGCTTTGCATATTAAAACAGCCAACAGCAAGCATGTCAAACTCACAGCCACGAGTTTGACATCCTTGGTCTACAGCAGATTGATTTCAAGAATCTGGCGTAACTCTAAACTACTTTTTTTAAACAACAGAGACACCTTTTGGCCAATAAGTGAAGCTGCAAGGTTACAGGAATACTGAGTCAATACACATTACATTGCACACTGAGGGGCCATTATGTATTTATCTTTTTCAGTGATTCCTTGGTCCTTTGCTGCTCTACAGCCAACATGGCCATGGCCACAAAAGGAAATATCTCAATGAAGAAAGGCAGACCAGGGGCTGGATGTACTACCTGAAATGCAACTCGATCTGAATGGATCCTTGGGCTGTGCTGCTGTTCTTGGAGGGCTGAAAGATGCAGCTGAAGACGTTGGTCGTGCCAGGACTGGCCTTCTGCCCAGCATAGCGGGTGTCAAAAGCCATCATGGAATGGGAAACCAAGTTAACGGATTTGGTTTGGTTGGAAAAGCTCTCAAAGAGCAGTTTACATTTCTTAAAGTCAAATCTAAAAGGAAGAAATCAGACAAGATGTTAAAACTCTTCCCTTTTACAAAATTCTGTAAGTTCAAGATAAAAAAAACAAAATAATAAGTATGCTTAAGTTCTATGAAGGAGGATAACATTTATTCTGAAATCTTTCATTGATTTTAACAGATTCCTCAAAATGGACTTAGTATCACTAGGCTCTGCATCTTACTTTCTATTTCCAAAGAGATGATCTTGTCCATAGGAATCTCATGAGGAACAGCAATACCACACATGTATTATATTCTTGGTTCATTTTTCATCTCATTTCTCATCTCAAGCCTAAGAAGACTGAATACAGGGTGGGGCAAAAGTAGGTTTACAGGTTTTCGGATGGAAAACAATACAATAATTAATAAATAATAACACAAGAATAAACTCTGTTTCCAGTACTCACAACTGTAAACCTGTTTTGCCCCACGCTGTATATGCGATAATCCCCAAGGGATGTCGAGGATCCCTTTAGTCCTTCATTTGTCAACTTCTAGCCTGCCTAGAGGAGTCTCTCTCTAGAGTTTGCTTAATTTTTACCTCAGACCACTACAGCTTAACAGAAACTACCAGATCAAACAATACCTTTCATTACAGAAAAATAACGCAACTCGCCCACCAACAGGAAATGCATTTGGGACTGACTTTTTTAAATAACAGAGAAAACTGCAATGGACAACTCATAGTCACTCAGTACCATCATGACAGTCTGTACAGATACTGGAGAAAACTAAGGGCATAGCCAGTCATCAAAAAAATTTGCAACAAAACAATCAGCATGGAACCCCAGCTGAGTTAGATACAGACCAGGATGGATTTTCAAGGGAAAAACAAAGTAGAATATAGAGTGCTTCCGTGAGGAAATCACTAGGCTGAAGTCCTGTTTTCAAACATCGAAACACTTTTCCAGCCATATAACCTTACATTAGTTAAAAACTCTATCTGGAAACCAGAGAAAAGTAATGTCTGCACAACCTTACATGGCTGTCAAGATATCTACATGAAAGGTGATCGAGTGTGAAAACACAATGCATTCTTAAAGGTCCCCACTGCTAAGAACAAATTCCTGGTCTACACTGACCAAGCAGACGATATAAATAAGTGAACGGCTGCGTAAACACATGCCCTTTCGAAAGGTTTCCCAAGTTGCCACTAGCTTCTAGGGCTCCCAAATGAAAACATGGGCCAGCACTGCCAAAGCTTCCAATTTTTCAAAAGAAACTGAAATCCCAACTTTTTGTGTGAAAACCCCCAAATTGTAAATGTTGACCAGTGAGGGAAACGTCAGTGCTGCTCACCAAACAGTCTGGGTCTCCCCTATGCAGACACAGGACGATGGCATGCTGACTCGGCCGTGCACCTGTGGGCCCATGTTCTACCCCATGAGGTCTGCCAGGGCATTAACTGCCTGCGAAGACCCTCCAGGGCTCTTATTTTTCTCGCTGGCATGTCAAAACTCTGTCTGCTCTGTCAGCCGCAGTGACTGCTGTGAGCAGAGATGCCCGAGACCCCTGTAGCAGGAGGAGAAACTCTCCCCTGTTCTAAGTCACTGGTATTTTCGAGTGCCTGCTACCAGAGTGCAGCCTATGCTATCTGGACGTAGACGGCAGTGAACTTGAACTTTTGAAAAGCACTCTGCAGACCACATTCCGCTGTCAACCAGCACTCCGGAACCTCTGCTCTCTGCTAAAGCAAAACCTGTGGGTTACTTGTATCAATGTTACTGTATTACTGTTGTTATAAACAATGCAATGTAATGAGAGCCACACCTCGCCAGGGACCCGGCACCTTCTCTTCCTTTTGGATCCTTCAGCTCCAGACTCACGTTTACCATGTCCATGAGGAAGCACATGCATGTGTACACCTCTCCACTCAGGACCGTCTGGAAAAGAAAACGCTGGTCAGTCCACACTTGATGGTGCCAATGAGGATTGGGATTAGGATGGCGAGAAATCTAATTTGCTTATTGTTCCATCTTCTTTCCCGGGGTGATTTGAGGAATGTATGCACAGGGTGACCATCCGCTGAGGCAATGGGAGTTACAGAAGAACATGAGGTCTCACTCACGTGAATTCTTGGGTCTTGTAAATCATAAGGCCGCATAAATTCCTCTATGGGCTCTCCCAGGTTGTTCTCTAGTAAACCACGGATCAGCTTGTATTTGTACAAATCCAAGGAGCAGTGGACTGAGGAGAGGTTGCCATGAATGGATATGTCTGGCACAGTATGACTTATCTCTCTATGAAAAAAGAAAAGGAGAAAATTTTACAAACCAAACTAACTTGACATTGACATAGTTCACACCCAAATATAAGAGCTAAAAAGTACCCACCTATATTATCAAACAATTAATTTCTAACATCCAATGACAAAAATGTCATGTGGCTCCAAACGAAGCAAGTTAGTATGACTGAATGTCATGCTTCAACTACAAAAAGCCCCTTTCTTCCAAAATATATATTTACAAAGTCCCAAATTTAATGAGTTGACTAAGGAATATATTAATAAGGAAAAAATCTCATGAGACTCAGAAATAGTTTAAACATTATAGATGGAAAAGCAATAAAGACATAATGACAAGCTCTTTATTTAACTCTTCAGATTTAGTGATACCTGAAGGACGAAATCAGTGTTTTATCCCAAGCCCAGCGGGACAATTAGGATAAAACCTGTCAGTGACATGTCTCAGTGGAGACGGGCAGGAGTAAAGTGGAAAAAGCCAGGTTGAGGAGGAATACATCTCATCCCCACACTGAAGACCTTTTTCTCTACCCTCCTCAGGGCAAAGTGAGCCTGCTAGGTCCTGCAGATGCCACGCTCCAAGTACATAAAATAGAGGGTCACACGTTTTATATTCCACGTGGAAGGGGAATATAAAAAGTTACGTTGTCTAGAGAGAAAAACCTACATGCAATAAAGTGAAAAGGACCAGTGATGCAATCAACCAAGAGAAGCTGGAAGGGATTACCGAGTGCCCTCCTGGGTTCCTGTTTGGGTGGAGTGAGAGCGGATCGGATGCCTTATGTTCAGTTATCACCTTTTATCTGGGCTAACAGAGTATAACCATTTGCACATAAACACTGATGAAAGTGGGTAACGTTTAGATAAGGAGAGTAGCAAAGCACTTTTTTTTTTGGAAGCATTACTTGAAAAGAAAACAAAGTGTTCGATTTCTAAATAATGAAGCTCCTCTTAAGTCTGCTAAGCCAGTAAAACCAAATATAGCCCATGCCAACCATAACTGAACACCAGCCAAGGAGCACTTGAATAACAAGTAAGAATGAAATGCAAAAATCCCAGTGAGAGCAGCTAAACTCTTTCATTAATCCAGACAGAAACGAAAAAGTGACATAAAAGGACTTGCCCAAACCCAAGGACTGCAAAGGGTGTGGCCAAAGAGGGACTCAAATCACACTCTATACCAGCGAGGAGACTGCTTTTCAAAGCATTACTTTACAACCACCGCTCATCTCTCCCTGGAGTTGAGATGCAAATGTTGCTGCTTCTCCAAAACTAGTGCCTCAAACTGAAGGCCTCACGCACTGAGGCCAGCAGCCTCCAGTCGTGCACAGGCCCAGGTGGGCACCAACACCCCCAGACGACCTTGTTAATATACACCTGAGGCTCTGCCCTGAGAGTCGGCTTCTGGTGGACTCGGGTAGGCTCTGGGAATGCCTATTTTCAAGACCTTTCCCAGCCAGGCAAGGCACTAATGACAATTAAAACAACGTTCTAAACTACAGAAAGAAGCATCCTGTGTTTTGAGAGACTAATGAAAAGGTAAAGTCAGTTCATTAGTGTTTATGGAGTACTTTCAGATTGCTCAATAGAGTGAAATGGGCAAAACTGCATCTAAATAGTTATTCTGATTAAATGGAGCTCCAGGGAAAATAGCAATACCAGGCCCAGCGCCTACTGTATTTGGAACATATAATCCTAATGTCACCTCTTCCAAAATATTTTCCCTGCCATCACCACCTCCCTACCCACACCAAAATCCATGCTAAACGTATGTCCCTTCCTGTTTCCACGGCACCTGCTGCAATCCCAGCACAGTTTATAACACTGACTCAAACACTAAATCAGAACCATCGACTTGCCTTCCTATATCCCTCAGCAAAGCTCTGTGAAGGCAGACGTTTTTTCTTTCATCACAGCAGCCCTCATGTCTAGAACATTTATTACATGAAGAAATAAGCGAACACCGATTATCTTTCACACTTACTTAACAGCACTGATTTCCGCCTTATTAACATTCTACTTGTGATAGTTATTCAGATATAAAACACTCACCTGTCCAAATTCCTTTCCACCTGCAATTTCAGCCGGCAAGGCTCAGTTAAGAGGCTGCCTCCCGTCTGTCTCACAAAATAGGAGGGAAAGACCAGATCTCCACTGCTGTCGTCTGAGGCCTTCGAATATTCCCGGGGACGTCTCTCGGCAGCAAAGATGTCCATGTCTTGCAGATCCACGACAATGCAATCCAGCAGGCAGACATGGTCTTCTATGTGGACCCAGGAAAAGAGAGAGAATGAAGAAAATGAGACCCAAAAAAGGCTGGTCCTGAGCAAAACTAAAAAGCCAAAGAAAGTTCATTCTGTCTTTGGGAAAACGTTGAGAACTGCCTGCTTCAGGAAACTGGGTGCCCAGAAGTCTCCACACGGGCACCTGGACCTCCCTGCCCAACGCTCTACGTGCTGACACTTCCTGCCTGCTCACCTCCACTTCAGGTGCCACATTCCCTCAGCGCCTCACTACTGTCCAGAGACACTGGCTGAGACTAAAAGGTTTTGATGAAACTCATTTAACATGCATCCCTCCCAGAAAACCAACAGGCATCTCCTGTAGAAATAACATTACCCAAAGGTTACAAAATCTCCCAGCAACAAAACTCTTTTTCTAACATATACCACATGTGCCATTTCCACCACCACTGATCTAATCCAAACCACCTTCGTTCTTGCTTAGATCACCATAAACCCCCCTCCCATATACCAACAAATTCCCCCCTGGCCCTCACAAAACCATTCTGCCCACAAAATACCAGTGTAATCACTTTAAAAAATAAAAAAATGAGACATAACATACATTCTCTTCCTTCGCACACTTTAATGGCTATGTTTATTCCAAATTTTTTTCTGTAAATCTCCCCTAAGCCCTGTAAGACCCTGCTTAAGCCCACTGCCTACTTTTCCAGCCTCACCTTAAGCCAGTGATGGCGAACCTATGACACGCGTGTCAGAGGTGACACGTGAACTCATTTTTTTGGTTGATTTTTCTTTGTTAAATGGCATTTTAATATATAAAATAAATATCAAAAATATGTCTTTGTTTTACTATGGTTGCAAATATCAAAAAATTTCTATATGTGACACGGCACCAGATTTAAGCTAGGGTTTTTCAAAATGCTGACACGCCGAGCTCAAAAGGTTCGCCATCACTGCCTGAAGCCATTCTCCACTTTGCTCATGAAGACTCAGGCTCACTGGCCTTTATTTCCCCAAAGGCCAAGCTCTTTGCTGTCGGAACAGCCTTACCTATGATGCCGCCCTCTCTTCTCCATCTCACCTGGGTCCTCTCTGTTCTTCAGTCTTTCCTATAATATTTATCTTAATCTTCCAATATTTAGATGCTTATTTAATGCCATTCCCACATTAGTCACATGGTGGCAGGAACCATGTCTAACAGTATACACCTGGCATTAAGCAGGCACTAAATAAATTAGTTCTTGATTTCTTGACTATACTGATAACTTGGTGAAACAGATAAAAGTACAGCTGATTTGGAAGAAGGAGGGATGGGATAGGAAGGAAGGGCTTCAGAGAGTCCTTGGGGTCATCATGGAACCCTAGGGTAAACAGAAGTATAAAAACCACTGCCTTAATCCAATCTTATACACAAATAGAGGAATCCCAGAAATAAAAAGTAAGTCAGGAGAAATATTCTTGGGAGAGATCTTTCTATATCCCAAATCCCTTCCTATATGTAAGGCTGCCCTCATTCCTCACCAGCACTGTCATCATAGCGACAGAAGACAACATTCGCTGAGGGTGCTGTGAGTGCACCCACTCCTGTGCTCCACATGTGCGACAGGCAGCACCACGTGGGTTAAGAATTCAGGTTCTGGAGTCAGACTGCCTAAGCTCATAGTCCAATGCTACCATTTACTAGCTATGTAACTGGGCAGGTTAAATTACTTCCTCTCTCTTAGCCTTTATCTCTTCATCTGTAAAATGGGGATAAAAATAAAACTCTATAGGGGTGTTATGAGGATGAAATGTGTGTGATAATTTACATAAAGAATGTGCCACAATGTCTGGCACATAGTAAGTGTTCAATAACTACTATGATAATCATATAATGCCATTAATCACCCGAGTAACCACCCTCCGGTCACCTCGAGGGCTGTAAGGCGCTGCAGGGCGTTAGCTCTTCCTCACATCTAACAGAAGATGCTCAGCAGTCTTCCCCAGCTTGAGTCCCATAGCTCCCGAAGACCAACCACGATCAACTGGTTTTTGTGGTTAATCACACCCTGCTTCCCTCTCGAGCTCCTTGGAGCAGCATCTCACTCATGCAATCCATCACCCAACCAGAACCCATCTGAAAACTAAAAGGCCAAAATCAGGCTCTCATCTGGATGACCCATTCTTAAATTCCAGAGCAGGAAACCAATGACTAGATGGTCCATGTCTTTTAAAAATTATTATTTAAAGTATTCCTGTTGTTACCTAATTCACACTGACATTTTATGAAAGAGTTATGTTTCATTTTTTAGAATTAAATAGTGACTGGCAAGGATGGTGTCTGAATAGTAGGTGTGTCTAAGGATGCAGGAATCATTCTAGTTATAAATATACCATCTGATGGCAACTCTCTTGACCTATAAGAAAAAAATCCCAATAAATGATCTAAATATCTTTATTTATACTGTGTCTTGCTAATTTAACCCACTTTAGAAGTCACCCAATGCTAAGTCTACAACCTAAATTTCTTAAGCCTACTAAAGCAATGTCAAAATTCCATTAGCACAGAAGACATGCTATTGCTTTGCCAGCATCTGCCCTTTGCCAGGGTGCAGCCTCCTCTTTCCCTTCCCCCCCCCCCCCCCCAGAAGCACATCTACATAGCTGTAATGCAATGGCACAAACAAGAAATTGACACTGATACAATTCACTGATTTTTTTTTTCAGATTTTACCAGTTTTACATGCATACACCCCCACCTACAGCCACCTCACGAATTCCTCACCTTCATCACACAGTTCCTTTCTCTTCTCTTACCTGGACTACTGGAAACCTGGCCGACAGAGGGTGTGGCTTGCTGCCCTTGCTGCTTGGTCGAGGCACTGGGCATGAGCTCACTCTTCAGGACGCCTACACCCACCCCAGCAGGCGGCGCCATGAACAGCCCCTCCGTGTGGCTGTCCTTCGGGTCCTCCGTGCCCGTCGTCTTCCTCATGCTGTGTTTGGGAAAGCTCACTGGGGAAGCTGAAGGCACTGATTCCTGGAAGAAACAGAATAAAGCTAAAAGGCAAGAATGGGGGTGGTCTCTTTACTGTCCGGTAAATCCCATCCAGTCCCTGGGCTCTTCAAAGACCCTATCACTTGGCGCTTCCCAAGACAACCTGATCCCATGAACAAAGGGTAGTGACAGGATCATGACATTTACATCACATGTAATTATCTGCAGAGATGGTACATATAATTCAATACCTATTGAAAACTGTGGCAATTTTGCAGGAAGATATTATCTTCTGTCTTAAGAGCAATGTTAAGATGCTAAAGGCCAGTGGTTTGTTTAATCAACGTAAAATGAAGCAAAAGCTAACCTCTCAGCCATATGATATATTGTCACTGTACTGGAGGGGAGGGGCTTAATGTTCTAAGAAATGTATCTAACAGCAAGTATGGTTCCAATGGAATTAATTACATAACGTGTTTGCATTTTCTGGAAGTCTCTCCTCGGGGGTTCACATTTCTTATCTCTCTCAGTAACTGTATGTCAATGGAGAAAGAAAAAAAAGGAAAACACAGGCGGTTGGCCATTCCTATTATGTTTCTGTTCAAGGACATAAAGATTAAGGGCTAATCCCGAGTAAAATAAATTCTATAAAATACTACACCCTGCTCTTACATACTTAGTACCTTCAGTTAACTGCCAACAGGGATAAATCTTTTCACCAAAATGATTCAATAACTGACTTGAAAACCTCCCGTGACTGCTTTGCCCAAGCCTCAGAGCCCTGCATTCCTACGACTTGTGCCTCCCGGTGTTCTCATCTATCCATCCTCAAGAGCGGACTGGAGGAGGGGAGAACGGTTTCCGCTAGCGCGGCCTTGCATGTCATTCCTCTCAGCCTTCGAGGAGGTAACAGTGCTCTCCTTCACGGTTCTCTTGGGTAACAATTACACGTAACAGTGAGCGAAACCAGTTCTTACTTTCCAAAATGTGTTTTGCAAGTCAAATTACTAGGTAAATGCTATTACTTAAGTACTGCAACATTAAAAACCTTCCCTCTTGCTTAGTTTATTTAAACTCTAGGGAGTATTTGTTGCTCTTTCATTTGACTCATCTCTACATCCTCACTGTAGTTGGTCTAAGTAAATCAATGGCTTGAGCAGATTAACTCAAAGCTTTTGAAAGGCTGACTTAGAAATTATGGTTTAAGCAAAAGCTATGATTGAGGAAAATGAAAGGAAGAGCATATGTAAAAAATTCAAACCTGCACTCATTAGGACATGGATTTATGTAAAACAATTCTAAACACACAGGAGTCATAAAGCTCAAAGGCAAATAACCTCTCCACAAGCTTTGGTTTCAGGATTACTTCCTGTTCTTCAACCACTGGGATGCATGCTAGACAAACCTCACACGTGCAAATGGATCCAAGGGCAAATGGAAATGCAAACCAATTTCTGGTGAGGAAAGTAACTATCCACTTTCTATAGGCCTGGGTCAACTGAGCTTGGCTGTACACGTCGGAGGCAAGCTTCACAGATATGTTTATCTGATTACAGATACTTTCACAGGCAGCACACTCCAAGCGGCCCTTATGGAATTCTACAGAACAACCACTAGTATGCAACAAGATAAGGCTTTTCTAGGGCTTAAGGAAATAAAAATACACCACCAAGAACTTACATACTACCCAGAGCAAGAGCGAGAGCAAGAGCAAGAAAGAGAAGAAAAGGAAAGAGAGACAAAGAGAAGAAAAGCAACTGCTTTTCATGGTCCTTAAGAACTTCTCTACACAGGAGGAAAGTGAGACACACACACACACACACACACACACACACACACACACACACACACACGATAAGCGGACTTTCCCAATGAGATACTTTAAAGGGTTAATTTTTTAAATTTTCTTTTTTTAAGCATAAGAGTGTGAATTGACTGCTGAATCCCATAAGGTCTTTCAGAATAACCAGGAGGCAAAAAAGCATATTATACCTTGAAGAAACAGCGATCCTTGTATGCACTGCCACTTAAAATCAAATCCTCAAAAACAAATACAGGGAAATTTTTTCATTAAAATGCTGCAAACTATATACAGTTATCTGGCTTACTTAACAAAACTTTCTTGAGATTGTTGGCAATTCTTTGTTATGCTAACTTCAGTGTCAGCTTGTGAACCCATATATAGATACTAGAGGCCCAGTGCACAAAATTCATGCATGGGTAGGGCCCCTAGGCCTGGCCGGCGATCAGGGTCGATTGGGGCCTTCCTTCCCCCAGCTGCCGGCTGCCAACCAGGACCTTCCTTCCTCCGGCTGCCAGCTGCCGGCGGGGGCCTTCCTGCTGCCAGCCAGCCAATTGGGGCCTTCCTTCCCCAGCTGCCGGCTGCCAGCCAGGACCTTCCTTCCTCTGGCTGCCAGCTGCCAGCGGGGGCCTTCCTTCCCCAGATGCTGGCTGCTAGCCAGGGCCTGCCTTCATTCTGTGCTGCCCCCTGGTGGCCAGCCACATCATAGCGAGCAGTCAAACTCCCAGTCAGTCGAACTCCAGAGGGGATAATTTGCATATTAGCCTTTTATTATATAGGATTATACAGGATATCTGAGAACATCAGTCCTTTACTGAAGGGTAGAGAAACAGAAATGGTACTTATTGAACTTAATTACCCATTCTGGCTCTAACTGACCTTTTCCTAAAAATATGTAGGTCTCAAAACAAAGATTTACCACAAAACAAATATGTTCCCAAAAACTTACTGTAAACTCAAAAGACAGTTCCCAAGGAGGACTCCCTGGGCAGTAATGGCAGTGGAGTTGGAACAAAGATGCAATATCCAGAGATGATGATGGGGACAATGTTCATGTGCAAACACCAGTGCTGATACTTTTGTTTAAAATCTACTCATGTTAATTATAAACACTTCATACTAAGGAGAAGTGAATAAGAAAGTTTAGAAGCAGTTACCAATCTTTCTTTTTATGAATGAACCTTTCTTTCATGTTCTTTAAATCAGCAAACAGCAAAATGCTTATATCTCAACTATGAAAACCGATTTACTTCATTAAGGCCAAGGTTACTAGTTCCCTAGTGGGCTTACTGTGAAAAGACCAATGGTGGTGGATCTCACTTTTACTATTGCAAAAAATACACATAAGTAGTGGCTTGGCAGTTAGAGTGTCGGCCGACTCACTGGAGGATCATGGGTTCAATTCCTGGTCAACGGCAAGTACCTGGGTTGCAGGTTCAATACCTGGCCCCAGTTGGGGCATGTGCAAGAGGCAACCAATAGATTTTTTTTTTCTCTCTCTCTCTCTCCCCTTCCCCTCCCTTCCTTCTACTCTCTCTAAAAATCAATGGGAAAAATATCCTCAGGTGAGGATTAACAAACTAACAAAAATACACTTGAGTGGGAGCCTGTTTCTCCAAGTCAAAGCAGCCTCTGGCGGTGAGGCCTGTTACCCACAGGAGGGCTTCTCGCAGCTCTGCCTGAGGGATGCCTATGAGCTGGGTGAACCTGGTGCTGCCCTCCCTGTGCATCGCTAAACACTGCGGCCTCCGCTCTGATCACTAAATCTGGTTTATCTGAGCGAGTGGCTATAACTAAGATGATACATGGACAACATGACCTCCAGCCCTTTGTCCAAACACCCCCAACTCTGGGTCCAGAGCCCAAGGTTACAACACATGGACGTGGTTCCTATGATTGTCACTGTCCCATCTTCACTCTTCTCCTTCCTCCACCCATTCCCACTCACTGAATCACGTATCTTCGGTTCAAGATGTTTACGTGAATAACAGTGAGTAAATGAATGAGTGAAAAGTAAAAGAAATAAAAAATACAGAGACAGTAATTTGAAAATCATAACATTAAGCATTGCCAACAAATATTATCTTCCTATTACTTTCTGAACTGAGTTGCTGTCCTGGTAAGGACTACCACCCCACTCATGCTGTTATCTTCCTATTACTTTCTGAACTGAGTTGCTGTCCTTGGCAACATCCTGGTAAGGACTACCACCCCCCTCATGATCTTTCATCTTCTTTTCTTTCTATACCTAGAGAGGCAAACAGTAACTGCTCGTTCATATCTTTTCTGTCATAATCTTTTGAGTTCTTCCATCTAAGTTATTTTAATGAATTCACTGCCCCACCCTTCAGAAAATTCAAAGAGCTATAGCTACTCAGGAAGGGCCATTCAAGACGCATAACAGGAACAGCGTTTGTCAGCTTATTTTCCCCACGTTAACCTAATCCTAATCCTGGGAGGTAAAATCAAATCACAGCTCAGAGAGTAGAGTATGGGAGCCAGACACATCTAAGTCTAAGGTCCACATGTCCTCCTTACTACCTGTATAATCCAAAAGAAATGGCTTAATCTTTTTAAGTCTCAATTTCTTTATCTGGAAAAATGGTGTTAATAATACTAGATGCCTCTTAGGTTACTAATGAGAACAAAGTGAACAAATATGTAAAAAGCATAGGCTGATGTATAATAAGCATTCAATAAGCATTCAATAAGCCTTCAATAAGCATTCAGTAATAGTGCTATTATTGTCAGTCATAAGACCTTACAATTAAATCAAATTTTATGTACACCCCCCTTCAAAGGCCATCTCTCTCCCAGTGTTATTAGCTGTTAGACCAAAATGAGCATAACTAGCTGGGGTTTTCAGTAAGTGCTATTCTCACAAGCTAAAACGAGTTTGTACTGAATAAGCAGAGAGAGTGAAAAGCCACTGTGGAAACTGGCAAGGTGCCATCAAAACACACAGGGGAAAAGAACAAGACACCTCTAGTTCCAGCAATGGTACCAGGCTCCTCAGTGCAAATGTGAGTGGGAGGGGCTAATCAGACGACCTCCATGTCCTCTTGGCACTAAGTCTGTGATTACTAGGTGCTTTCTCTCTCTCTCTTTTTTTTTTTCCTTTTTGTTTTGTTAATCCTCACCCAAGGATATTTTTCCATTGATTTTTAGGAGAGTGGAAGGGAGTGGGAGAGACAGATAGAGAAACATCAATGTGAGAGAGACACATCAATTGGTTGCCTCC